AAAAAAAGATGCCAATATGAGCAAAGAGTACTGAGTCACAGCTACAACCACTAATACGCTACCTTGGCAAGTAAGTTCAGCTCCGCTTTCGTTAATCTGGAATCGCTGTTCTCGAGCGCTCCCACATATCTGTCAATCGCTCTCTTGTGGCGAGCCATTTCCTCCGTTTTCAGTCCGTCCAATAAATGATGCAGTAACTCATGCGAATCTTGCTGTGCCCAGCCACGAAAACGTGGCGCCCTATAAATAAAACTTTCATCAAAACAACAGTTACGTTTAAATCATTAAAGACTTTTCAAATACGAGGATTTTAGATATTTCACTACTGGTCAAAAATCTGAAAGAATAATTTTAAAAAGAGAAAAAAAAACCAACAGTCTGCAAATTTCTTTAAATAATGAGTTGGGCTGCACTGGTCGACCGGCACGGAAATCGCGCAGGAAACTCGCAAAAATACTGTTCAGAGGGCCATCAAATGAATCCAAAGGCAACGAGACATGCGGCACCTGCAAAGTAAAGCAGTTAATTCACACTGCTTCCCGAGCTTGTCGCAATGTTCTTCGCCAATTTAAGCTGTTGTTTCAAAACAGCCAATTAGGAAACACAGTTCTTTCTCAGTATTTCGATAATGAAAAGGCACTGAGGTGCCCAGTACGCTGAACTCATTGAGCTCACTTTACAAGCAGTTTTAGGGTATAAGCAGTTTCAGGAACTATGTCAGTTGGAAATAAGATTTGGCAAAATGTTACCAAACTGGAGCATTTAGAAGTGATGGCGTATCTCAAAGTAAGCAGAACGGAGAAAGCTTCAGCTCCGAGTGTTCACTGACAAGAGCTCAGAACTATTTACCTGCACTTGTTTACCATCGACCATCACTTTACTGGGCATCAACTCGATAGTGTCTTCTCGACCAACCAAGTCGATATACAAAGCGAGGGCGTGAGTTTGAAGAAGGCACTGCATAATTGCATTAAAGAAACAAGTGTTGCCCAGATTTCTTAGGCCCTAAAATACAAGTAACATAGGATTATCAGATCACACATCCGAGACTGTAAAGTTCCTTGCACACCATGAATATCAAGACCACCTGGATTGTCAGTATGGTGACACCCATACTCATACCCTGCTCGGCCTTAGCACTTTTCAAGCATAAGATTTCTTATGGGAAGACCGTAGTTATCGGGACTCTTCGAAGTAGATTCCCAAAAATCAAATTTCTAACGAAAAGAAATTGTGACTTTCTCAAGTGAGTGCGGAAGTGGCAACAAGCAAGCGGGTGTTAAGACGCGGTGAAACACAAGTTTGGCAGCTCCAAGCATGCCGAAATGACACTGCGCTGCCCC